AGTCCAGGCTCCAGCTCCAGCCTGAATGGCTGCGCTCCTTTTAGCCCCGCAGCCTGAGCGAAAGTCAGTTGACCCAGGCTCTGAGACTTGCTGATGGTGGGGGGTTCTTTTTGCTCGGTAGACCGACCCGAAGAGTCTTGTGCACGTCCGTGAAACGCTCATGCGGGGTTCCAGCCATGGCACTGAAGGGAGGGTGATTTAAACCCACAGAACTGGCCACTTTAAACGTGTGACTAGAACTGTCACTGTGCCGGTTTTATTCCCTAACCACGAGGTGCAAAGCTCCCTGTGAGAGGGAGAGCAACTGCCCGCGCTCGTTGCTGGGGCTCAAACCCAATGCAGCTGGCGTGCACGACGCGTTGCCCGAGTTGACAGCCTCTGACAGGCCTGATTAGACGCACGAGAACCATTCCGCAGGCGGGGGAGTAACGGGCGCTGCGGCAGCGAGCTATTAGCCAGAGTTTCAGACCAGCTGCAGCAGGCTGATTAACTCACGACCTGGTAGCTTGCGATGGCAAGGCACTGGGAAATGGGGCTGGAGCCATGTGGGAAGGTTCGCGCTGAGGTCTCTGCATTGGAACATGAGCAGGTTGGAGCTGGCCTGGGGTTCACGACAGGTTTAAGAAGGCGAGAGAGAGTAGATTCACCTCCGGGAGTTGGAGGGGAGTGTGAATTTAGCACCGCAAGAGCCTGCCAGGGATCTCTCCCCATCCGATGCTGCACGGAAAGTGCGTTCACACAAGTCTAGTCCTTTCGGAGCGCACGGCCGCTGTGTTATCCGCACAAAATTCTCTGTTGTTCGCATACTCTAGGGCACCCACCCTTACCCTGTTCCTAGGGCTCAGGTGTAACCTTCTTAATTTAGACATCTAACTTTACCCCTCCGTGGGCTCTACTCCTCTGGGCGCCGCGTAAACACCCATTCCCTCTGGACTCCCGGCTTAATCTTTTGCAGGTTTATGGGGTCTTTTACCAGTGAAAGAGCCTTACACAGTAATATCCCACTTCACCTCTATTTATTAACAATCACCAAAACAGAATGCACACACTACACATACAATGCTCACCGCTCCCAATAAGAGAGAGAAACTTTTCTTGCTGGCCAGCAGGGCCGGCTCCAGGCACCAGCCTGGCAAGCAGGTGCTTGGGTCGGCCGCTCCGGAGGGGGGCGGCACGTCCAGCTATTCGGGGGCAATTCGGCGGACGGTCCCTCACTCCCGCTCGGAGCGAAGGACCTTCCGCCAAATTGCCGCCGCAGATCGTGATCGCGATCGCAGTTTTTTTTTTTTTTTTTTGGCTGCTTGGGGCGGCCAAAACCCTGGAGCCGGCCCTGCTGGCCAGTCAGGATCAAGGTCATCTGGGGGACTCCAGCTTCTGCATGGTGTCATTGGCAGAGCATTGAGGTCTGGCAGCTCTGATCTTGGGGCTGTGTCCTGGAGCTGGTTCCCAAAGAACTTCCTTTGGGACCCCCGTCTATATAGTGACACTTGAGTCCTGCTTAGCTGTACCTTAACCAATCATTTCACTAACCAATCCTAACATATTGTAACAAAATTCTCTAACCAATCCTACCCCACCACCTTAATTGATTTACACCTAACAAAATGAATTATGTAACAGACAGAAACAATGAAAGAACCGGACAGAGATCATACAGACAAACAGTAGGGAAGTGGGGACCATAATGACAAAACAATACAGAAATGAGGATTTCACAACCACAATGGTTGAGAAGTGGTTTCTTGCCAGACAGGATACTATCCAACTAAGTTTCCTTTAACCACCTTAAGATCTGTTTCTTTATCTGGTGATAGTGGGTGCCATTAGGATGGGGTCTCCTTCTTCACCGCCTGATCTTCCGTTGTTTTAATGTCATTTAGATGGAATGTGAAGATGTGACTTCCTGCTTCTCAGTTAATGGCTGCAGCTCTCCTAATATGGCTGCCGACATAGGCCTTAGGCCTTACCATATGGCTACAGGAGAAGGCCTTATCCTTCCCGCCATCAATCTAGCTATGACAGGCTCTCCGCCCTCCCGCCGAGGGTTTCTGACTATTTCTCCCCTCTCAGAGTCCTAAGTGAAGCAAACGAGCAATCCAAGGGCAGCAAAAGAATTAAACCAAAAGGCGAAGAAGACAAAAGAAGCCCGCAGGCAGGTCTAGCCAGGATATTTGGCCTCTCGTTCTTCAGAGGGGCCCTGGACAGGTCATAGCCTCCCCAAAGCTTGCTGGGGCTCCAGTGTTACCCCAAAACAGATTTTAAGGTGTATACTTTCTGCGGCCGCTCAGAAGATGGGCTAATCTGCAGGCCCTTCCCTCTCCCATATCTGTCCCCAGGGTAGTTAAGAATAAAACCAACAGGGTAAGGGGCAAATACAACAAGATTTATTAGACCAACGTGGTCTTACAAGCAGAACCCTTGTTACAAAGCTAAATAACATAAGCACAAGTAATAACAAAAGCACAAGCAATAACAAATGGCTCGGTCATTAACAGCAGATGCAAATGGACTTGAAGTCCGGAGCCCACGAACCTGATAACCAAAAGACAATAAAAGGAAACTACAGTACCATCTCTCTCCATGTCCTAGGCTCGAACCCCGATCATCCAAGGGATGAACCCCGACTGTTCCACGGAAAGAACCCCGACGCCGCAACGAGGATGGTTCTGGACTCCTGGACAGAACCAATGAAAACTGGAAACGCTGGACCACCGGAACGCTGGAACAGGATGCGACAATCACCAGGTGCGTGGCTTGTCTTCTTTCTTCTGTCTTCTGTCCCCTGTGCGTCATCCTGAGCGGTAGTGTGCGGACTCGCCGGTGGAAATGGAAACAGGTGCATGCAGTGTGTGACACCGCTGGAACCTGACACCCTACGTGATATTCCTGTCCCCAGTGGGGCTGCCACCTAATCTGCGGTCGCTGGGCAGACTACGCAGTCACATGATCCTAACCGCTCCCTGCCTTTCCCGCTCTAATTTGAAAAAGGCAAAGGGAGGGGCGGGAAGCTCTCCATGAAGGAGGGCGTCCAAAATGGAGTCCTACTTGTTGTTTCTACAGAACAAGATGGAGCCTAGAGGAGAAACATACCAAAGCAAGAGTTTACCTCAATGCCAGGACAAGCTCTACGAGACAGTCTCCTTCCCCTTTTTGGGGACAGAGGATCTGTGTTCCCTCTTCCTCAGAGCAGAGCAGGGAAGCTCAGAAACCTGCTCCCTCTCCCTCTCCCTACTGAGCAGTGTTTGCTCCTTTTAAACTCCCCTTCCAGTCCTGGCATGACTTGCAGGTGCAGCAGGGTGAGGTGACTCCAGCCCAAAGCAACTCCTGACCCCTTTCTGTGCTGGTGTGGGTTTATACAACCCCATCCCAGAGCCATCATCATTCCCTGGCCCAGGACCTGTGCTGCATCCCGCTGTCAGTGATCCTTGAGATACCAGAACCACGTCGGCCTTCCTTTACCAACAAAATGCTTGGAGGAGGGGACCATCCCCCCGCACGCCCGTTCCGCGCTCGGCTTCGCTCTCTGCAGCCATGTATTTAAGCTGTCCTCGTTTCCATTGTCTCGCCAGGAGTTTCAGTGCAGCTGGGGAATGCAATTACTAAGCAGTGAGGAAATCCAACCATTATGTATGTACAGGGACTGTGCTGCTGGCAGGCCCGGGGCTAGCTCATGCCAAGGTCTCAGCTGGACACTCACAGATACACAGCTGCAATCTGCCTGGCTCATCTGTGGGTTAATAGTGATACACTAGGTGTTAGAATGATAAGGAAGTGTTCAGTGTTTGGACTCTGTCGGATACTTGCGTGTTGCTGCCTGCGTTAAATCTTACTTGTAATATCTGTGCTCCATATAATAATGTAATGTTGGAGCGGGTGTCGTGTGAGCATCTGTGACTGTACGAATCACCACAAAGGAGAGGGACATTAATTAGTGGGAGGATGCATCCGAAGAAGTGAGGTTTTTACTCACGAAAGCTTATGCCCAAATAAATCTGTTAGTCTTTAAGGTGCCACCAGACTCCTTGTTGTTTTTGTAGATACAGACTAACACGGCTACCCCCGATACTTGTCATCTGCAGAAAGCATCCCACCCCACCTGAAAGACGAGACCCCCTTGATACCAGACGGGCTACCACTGGAGTTTACAACTGGCAACTCCCTACATCCGGATTGAGAAACCATCAACAACAGGACTAAAGACTCTTATTGTTGTTCTGCTCTCGCCCCCAGAAAGAGGAGTCGTGTGAGTGGACTGCGGCCATCAGCTGAGTGTGCAGCTCAGCGCATAGGTCAGGAGGGAGATAAAAACTCCAGACCAATGGTGGTCAGGATGTCTTGGACTCGGGGCGGGCAGGGTGTTTCTAGGCATAAGCAAGAGATCCCCAGCTGCTTAGCCTGGGGTAGCCCTAAAGGAAAAAGAGAGCTTGCTGATTATAGAAGCCTACATTACCTTTTGAAACCTAAGGCCCGGTCTACACTACAGACCTTAATCGGCAGAACTACATCACTCAGGGGTGTGAAACATACACACTCCTGAACAACGTAGTTATACTGACCTAACCCCCCCATGTAGCCGTCGCTGTGTCAGTGGGAAAGCTGCTCCTGTTGCCGTAGCTACCACATCTCAGGGAAGTGGGTTAACTAGGCCAATGGGAGAGCTCTCTCCTGTCAGCTTAAAGCATCTTCATTAAAGCGTTACAGCGGCGCAGCTACATCAGTGCAGCTGCACTGATGCAGTGTTTGAAGTGGAGACTTGCTCTAAGACAGTAACTCATTCATGTGTCTATATTTGCTTGCTTTAACCCTGTAAATAATGCTCCAATTTCCTTTTCCTATATAGGTACTATAGGATTGGCTTCAAGCGTTGTCTTTGGAGTGAGACGTAAAGTGCAATTGACCTGGGGTAAGTGACCTGCCTTTTGGGATCAGGACTCATCTGAATATTGCTGTGATTCTTGGTGTAAGAGCCCAGCTATCACAGAGCTACGTTCACCTGGGTAGTAAGACAGACCCGTATACCCAAGGGGAGTATCTGAGCCTCTGTATTAAGGCTGTTAAAGGGCCTGAGGAGTTTGCCCTTGGTACAGTGGGTTGGTGAAGTTGAAGTTTAGAGCTCACAACCACTGTGGGGCTTGTGCCCTGGTTTCTAACAGCCTGCCCTGAGGTTGGTACTCATGCTTTTGTGTCACCATTGGGAGCGTCACATGATGGGTACATGTGGGCACCTCCCTGAGAACAAGCAATTCCCTCAGACACTCCAGTTCCCTTGTGTCACGTTATTGATTTGAATTGGGACCATATAGAACATGGTTGCCATCAAAGTCCTGTAGTGGCACCACATCTTGTATAAAAGGGGTCAAATGAGGTGTCTAAGACAAGGTTATAGTTTGCTGGTTATGATTATGCTGTCTATATGTGTGTATCAATTTTGTAGTTCAAGTTATGAATACTGGCTCTATACTGTCCGTATTTCAAACTTATGCTATGCTTCTGGGAAACATCCCAGACAAGTTGGTGTTAGCTCTGCCTAGCCTGCTTGAGGGCCCTTTAAGGACGATCAGCTATACAATTGACCCATTGAGAGAAGGCAAATACGCCTTGCAACTCAGCAAAGTATTCAGGGACTGGCCCATGTGACTCCAGACTCCATTTTGCTGTAATTTTCCACAGTAAGGACAAAGAGGTGTTCTTACACCTGGAAAAGACTATAAAAAGCTGATGCCTCTCCTCCATCTTGTCTTCAATAATGCTTCATACCTCTGGAGGAACTTTGCTACAAACTGAAGCTCTGAACAAAGGACTGAGGACCCATCCCAGCTGGGGATGTACTCCAGAGACTTGATTCAAACCTGCAGTTTATTCTATCACTGCTACAAGCCTGAACCAAGAACTTTGCCATTACTGTATGTAATTGATTCCATTTAACCAATTCTAGCTCTCATCTCTATCTTTTTCCTTTTATGAATAAATCTTTAGATTTTAGATTCTAAAGGATTGGCAGCAGCGTGATTTGTGGGTAAAATCTGATTCGTATATTGACCTGAATCTGGGGCTTGGTCCTTTGGGATCGAGCGAACCTTTTTTCTTTTACTGGGGTATTGGTTTTCATAACCATTTGTCCCCATATCGAGTGGCACTGGTGGTGACACTGGGAAACTGGAGTGTCTAAGGGAATTGCTTGTGTAACTTGTGGTTAGCCAGTGGGGTGAGACCAAAGTCCTCTTTGTCTGGCTGGTTTAGTTTGCCTTAGAGGTGGAAAAACCCCAGCCTAGGGCCAGGGCCGGCTCCAGGCACCAGCTTGTCAAGCAGATGCTTGGGGCGGCACGTCCAGGTATTCGGTGGCAATTTGGCGGACGGTCCCTCACTCCGCCTGGGAGCGAAGGACCTCCGCTGAATTGCCGCCACAGATCGCGATTGCGATCGCAGCTCTTTTTGTTGTTGTTGTTGTTGGGATTTTTTTTTGGCTGCTTGGTGCGGCCAAAACCCTGGAGCCGGCCCTGCCTAGGGCTGTAACTGCCCTGTTTAAAGCGATTTGTCCTGAATTGGCACTCTCAGTTGGGTCCTGCCAGAACCGCATCGTTACAGTGGTGTAGTCGTGCTAGGATCCACAGAACCGGGTCAGTTAAGCTTTGGGTCAGAACCGCACGCTATCCACATTTGAATGTTGGTCTTGAGAGTTGGTTGGTTAAAGATCAGTGACCATGAGCCAAAAAGCAACAGCAGAAGCAATGAAACTGCAAGCCCTGATGCACAGCCTGCAATGTGAACATGAACAAAAACTGGCAGAAATTCGAAGGAAAGAGAAGCACGCCTTGGCTCAGTTAGAAAAAGAAGCTGATGAGAGAGAAGGAAAAGCTCATAAGGGGTGTCTGGAGTTTCTGGCTGCTGCAGAGAAAGCTCGACAGAGGCAACAGGAGATTCACAAGATGGAACAGGAGACGGCCAGACTTCAGCTCCAAGTCCAAAAAGCAAGGGAAGAACAGCAGAAACTGTATCCTCTTGAAAATCCAGTTTATAACTGTGTGGATATGTGGTATTACTCTGGGCAGTTTGCTATGGCCATGGAGAGGGGGATTCTAACCTGGTGGGTAATAGCTGTTTGTCTGTGCAAGAAAGCGGTGTGGCTGTGAATGAAGTTTCTGAATGTCTATCTAATGTCTCAGAAGTGAATCTGGAATTCAATCAAGCACAGAAAAAACTCCTTGGTCAGGAAGATGTTTCTCTGGAGCAGATGAAAGTGGATGGTCAGGTTGAAGCCCTAACTGAGGAGGGGAAGAGTAGAATTTTGACGGGTGATGGATTGGTGGCTAGTACAGCTTGTAAAAGGGAACCTGAAAAGGGTAACTGTGATTTGCTGGAAGTAGCTCAGTGGAGTGAGAAAAGCAGCAGTTTGTCTGTTGGGAGTGGTCATGTGCCTGGTAAGGAAAGTTTGGATGAGCCTAGACAGCCTTGTGAGCAGGGCCGGCTCTGGCTTTTTTGCCCTAGGCAAAAAAGCCCTAGGCAAAAAAGCCACCCGCCGCGCCCCCCCCCTCCCCGCCAGCGCGGCAGGGGAGGGCGCCGAGCAATCCCCCACCGGCCAGAGCGCCGGGGGGAGGGCAGCGAGCCTGCCGCGGCTCTGCTCTCCCCGGCGGCCAGAGCACCGGGAGCAGGGCGC